TTATGGCATTGAGCACGGGGTTATGCGGGTGGGTTGCGTGATGTGCTGCACCGTTTCCGGTTTCCAGTACCAGTTCGGCGAATCTTGTCTCCATTCATTATGAGAGAGGCGGGCTACAATACTGAGAGGATGAGGGTTAGCCAGAAGGCGTTTGTCGTTCATTAATACTCGACATTAGTCACAATGGGAGCTCAGACCTCAGAAGCAGTGCGTTGGACAATCATATAGGGCGTCATCGACTGTTACAGCACGAAGTGTTGAGCCGCCCTTCGCACAGAACGCAATTGAACAGCTTTTTAGCAGGAGAGACGGATTTGCCACAGTCCTATGCATTTTGGATATCATAGCAGTTTGTCGTACTGATACAGAACACTGGAAACAGCGGACCGGGATTCTCACATCTGAGATTTGCCTAGCTGCGGGTTCGGTTCGGTAGGTATGCTAGGCCAACTGGGGAGGTTGCCATTAGATGGCGGTTTGTATATATATGTATATATATATATAGTATACACATGTTAACTGGGTGTACGTTTTATATTGAAGAAGGTTAATGCGGTTCTCATAGCCAGTTGTCAGGAACAAAAACCTTGAGGGAGATAGCTATCCGCAGCCGTTCAAGTTCAAGTTCAAGCGGTAATGGAACGATAGGATTATCCCGTGAGTGTTCCTTCAGCGGTGGGGCGTTGAAACAGGACTTGGCGAACTTTGAAATACGGTTGGACCTTAAACAAAGACCGCATCACACCCTGTCCAACCAATTAATGCCCACGTATCCTGCCCTAGCAGTCCCTGCTGGGTTGGATACGTGAAGTAAAGTGAAAAAAGTAAACTCAGAAGGCAAAAGAGAAAGTAGAAAGAGCTAAGCAAGTGGAGCACCAAGATATTTTGGTCATGAAAAAAAGGACTGAAAAGTGAAGGTGGGTCAGATAGGAAAAAGGAAAGGTTTGCTGTTGCCACCCAAGAGCATCGAGCTGGCGCGCAAAACCCTTAATCGCAGGTTCCCTAACCACGTGAGCTGGAAGAGAATTCCAGCGATCTATAACTCGGCGCGATAGACGAGTTTCTGTCCTTATCCCATCAGACCGTGGTTTATGCAGTTTCAGTGGGTGACCGCGGCGATTAGGTAACGTAGCAGGACTAAATAGCTCTGACAAGTCCGGGCCAATCTTACCCTTCAAAATACGATAAGTGAGAATCAGATCCCCTCTTATCCTTCGGTAGTGCATTGAGTACATACCCAAACTGAGCAAGCGTTCAGGATACGTCTGTCCCCGCAGACCCTGCACTAACCGCGTGCCCACTCTTAACACCCACTCTAAGTCCATTTTGTCTCGGTTAAGACATGGTGGACAAGCCTGAATACAATATTCCA